GGGGTGCAGTATAGCACCAATTGGGTCATTGGTTACACTCGACCCCGATTGTTTAGCTTCACCTGGACCTTGGAGCTCATCATCTGTCTGAAACAAGCTGTTTCAGGTCTCCCACTCCTTTTACATTTATTTATATATTTTTAAAGGTACACTTTGCAATGAGCTTCTGCAAAGTTTAACTAAAGCTGTGACCACCAGGGGGCAGTATTTTTTGCTAACTTGTGTATTGTTTACAGATATGTGAAACTGTGATACTTCTTTTTTAAGCTACACTAATTTCCTCAACAGACTTGGTCTTTTGCTATGCTAAAAAACAAGCACTAATAACCTGCCTGACTACTAAAGATACACTGAATACACAAACCTTTACAGAGTATTAGATAAAAGTACAGTGCAGCCCTTGTTCAACTGGAGCTAAAATATCTTCTCTCTGTAGATATTTAGGACATAAAGCCATTGTTTCTTCATATAATATTGACAAATTCATTTAAACTTGTTAAGTTTTAAACTGTTTTAAACTCGCAATATTTAAAAAGGCCACATTTAGGAGACTTGATCGCCCATCACAAACAGAAGGCTTAAAGAGCCGGTTTACAGGAACTACTTACATGAACGCTGACTTTATTATTCAAAACTCTAATTGTATTTGATATAAACAGCCACCATTTTAACAGTATATTAATGACAGAAAACAAGGAAAAGCATAAAAGAACACTTTAAGGTTAATTCACGTGGTAATGTTGACCCACAAGGTGCGATATTAGGCATTTTTACAGGATCAAGTCAACAGTAAAATCTGTCATAAAAAAGAAAACCTATAAAATCAAAGTAAGACTCGTAAAAAGAGGTCAAAGCAATGATGAGGCGATCATTACAGAAAGGAAAGTCAATTAAAGTGAGTTTTAAGACGTACTTAAAAGATTAAAGAGTCTAGAGATAATGAACATTTTATCACCAAAGCAGCTCCGAGATGAGAAACTGAAGTTCTCGTCTCTTCATCTTTTGATAGGAACTACTGGACACAAAGTTTCACTCAGCAGCGAAGATAACTGCACATACGCCACGCGTGGGTGGGCTTTCAACACAAAAATATGTTTGAAAATGGTATCAGTATGCGCCGTATCAGCCACCTCGCTTTATGCTTCTGCCTGAATACAAATGCAGGTATTTTAACTGTATTATAGGCAGTAAAAATCTCCATCCTTCTGATAATATGACAGTTTTATTATGTGGTTTATTCCCTAAAATAGCCCTGTTTGTCCAAGTATAAGGAAATTTGCAGCCCAATTAAAAGTTTTAAGGGTTCAAAATTGGCCTTGATGCAGTGACTATGTTACGAATGAGTACATTAAACTCCACTAAAACAAAAGCCAACTCTTCTAAGTTCAGGCTATGTAACTATTATGAAAACAAGACATCTGAGACAATAACTATTAATAAAAACCACTAACAGTTATTACTTTTGCTCTGCAGTCCTTTTCCCAGTACAAATGCCAGACATAGGTGTGCATTTGCACCTCTATTAAAAATCAAAGACACTCAGCTGTGGCTTGAATTAAGATGAGAAACAAAGAGAAACCGGTGTAAATAACAACAGTAAAACTAATTCAACAAAAGTCTAATTAGAAAAGATATACAAAAGGGGTTTTCTGAAGGTTTAACAAAAATGTATAATGTTTAAACAGTCGAGGTTTTACAGCAGCAGCCGCCAATGCAGAAGTTTTAACTGGCTGCACCGTGATCACGTTATGCAAAGTCTGAATCTTCATTCTTTGAATAAGATGGGACTTTTTGGGCCAAGCAATTACTATGTAAGGTAAACCTGAGGTTTTAAACTGATCTATCCTCACAGAAGCAGCTCGAGCATGTTCAAAGCTTAAAGAAAACAAAGAGGTGCAGGATTTTCATACATATACATCAAAGCTGACACCAGGATCATGATTTTTAACTCTTTTGTTTCCAGGTTTTAGGCTTTAGTTAAATAAGGTAACACCTACTCTTTGCCTGAACTATATACAGACCAGGCATGCTTACATGTGGAGTCAAACTATAATTTGTGTCTAGATTAATTCAATTGATCTGAGAGATTTAAAACATCCCAGTGTCAAAGCTAAATTAACAGTGATTCCAGGCAGCAGACTCTAGATAAGTCTTAACTCACTTTTTCACAGGCTCCTCTGCAGCTTTCTTCTGAATGTCCTTGCTCTTGGGCTGAAAGAAGGATCTGTAAAAAGACCACACAAGCATTCACTGGCTTGATACATGTTTATACCAACACATGTCTGTATTTAGTGCATTAAAGTGTAATAAAAATCGGTAATAAGACCGCACTTTTACAATAATACAGAAAAAGGTTTGCCTGTTAATTAGAAACTTGCTGAATCACAGATTACCATCTTTGCTATCTAGTGTTAGAGCAATGTGGCTCCACTGATGACAGCCTCTATAAGGCAGGAAAATAACCTGCCTTTAAAGATCATTTATACTTATATAGCTATGATATCGTCTGTGTCTGTGCTGGAGATAAAACTACCCTATTTTCCAAACAAGTGACGCAGATAAAAACATGCTAAAGCTAGCTTACAGGTAGTCCGATTAACACCGAAACGGACATGTTTTTGTTTGGTTTTTTTAGTGTAACCCCTTGTAAGTCACACATAACCCCCCGCCCGCCCGCCTGATCACCACTCATTACACAGCTAACTCTTCTAGTGCACAGACACAAGCATCGTCAAGCTAGCGCTAATTTCCACCAGGCTAACTGCAAACTTTGGCTTGCACTTACGCGATGCTCCGCTGCATGTTGTTTTTAAACTCTTCCTTCACCTGATACCCGGTTAAAACAAACGTTTAAATCGCAGCAAAACTCCAACATTCACACACACGAAGACACCAACTCCCGCGCTGCAGAGGGGCAAAATAATAACTTGGAATATTCGGCGCCAAAAGTTGTATCTCAGCCAAAGATTGTCAGAGGAGAAGATGACTCGCTACGGGAGCCCAAAGCGAGCGGTTTCCGCTCGGTACGCATGCGCACTCACGTACTTGGTTTACCCAAAGAAAAATATATTTTTACTGTAGCTACACAACATGTATTGAATAAAACTACTCTGTTGCTACTAATAAGATGTGACTGTGCTTAGTCAAAGCTTCTACGCTACTGTTAAGATAGTATACAACTCACTATGGAATGGACAAGATGAGTAAAATATAACAAAGCTAATGGTTTGCTATGTTCATGCAGGTATATAAAAAATAGTACTTTACATTTTTTGTCAGACTTCTCTTGCAATGGCTGCATGTTTCCCGATGCAATCTGTATTAAATGGTACCTGAATTTAATTCCTGGTGTTTTTCAGTCTTCCCAGCAAGTACACATCAGAGGCCATGACTCATAATGAGGAGGAGAACATTTTGAAAAGCTAAAACACTTTTAAAGTCTGCAATTTACACTGCCAAAATGGTGCCAAGCAAGCTAAAAAGGCATGGGGGAACCAGGGTCAGTCTGATAAGGAGGTGAATGCCAGTTATATAAACTGGTGGAGCAACACAGAGTAAAGGGGGCTTGATCTGACAGCAGAACCAGCAGAGATAGAGGCTATTTTTTCAGTGACATGAATATGAGCCTTGACATTTTGCCTCGACCTTTGGTGGATCTTGGGTAAAAAAGGTTTGAAAACCTACAGTCATTCCAAACCAGGGGTGTCGACCCCTCTTTAAAGATAGTATGAGCCCTCTGTATGGGGATCTGCACAGCCTTTTTAATCTCATTTCTGCAGATATTCAGAAAATATTTCTCAACTTATTACAATCCGCAATATTCAAAAGTAAAGTTTGGCTTTTATTGAAGGGCCAGAGTGTCCTGATGGTTAATGTGTCACCAAATTAACCACAAAGTTACAAGTGGACTACCACAAGTAAAAGAAATACACATAAAACTGTGAGAAAGTGGTGGAAAGTGAATGTCAAACAGCTTTCCCCAATTTTTGTCAGTCATTTTCTTTGTCATTTTTGAGTTTTACATGAAGTGTAGCTCAAAAAGTGATGTGATATTTGAGATATGTAAAAAATGAGTTCATTCACGCTGGACAAGCCCATCGAGTGTGTCGTAATCTCCAACTACAAGACGCGCCAAGCAAAGACAGTACTCAGAGAATGTGCCATTTGTCAAATGCTTTCCACTGAAAGCCAAATAATAGACAAAACAGCATCTTAAAATTACAGTTAAGAAGAGTTTTAAAGGCTACAGGGCTAAAAGAGAACAAAAATGAGTGTGTCTAAGCTTCTTTTTATTGTCATTGCGAGCTTTAGAAAGGGAACATCTCATCCAGCAGTTTTATGCCAAGCAGGCCAGATCAGTAATAGCACCACACCCATCCTTTAACATAAAGAAGTACAAGTGAATGCTCCAAGAAAAAAAAATAACACATATAATAAACAAATGAATATATCTTGAAAAACAACACCATAACTTAAATGCAACAAAATATAAGCAAAAAGTGACAAAATGCTTCAAATGTAGATTCCTCTGAAGGCTCCATAATGTTGCTTTAGAGCAATATTAACAACACCCCCTTAAAAAATCTACAACTTAATATCAGGAAAAATAAATAGTAGCTCAAATATAACGCGTACTATCTTTACTGATCAGAGTGGCACCTCTGCTGTTTTACATCTCTCCGCTTAGACGCTCTCCCGGGAAAATGGGGTGTAGTGAAAGATTCATGAGTTGTCAAGGACGCTACTGCCCCCTGTTGTGTCGGGGTGGTAACTGCAACAACACCGGCTCCTGGAAATGACACTGCAAAGACTACACGAAAGCCCCCGTTTCAAGAGGGTTTTCCCTGGGCCTGTTTGAATGCATCATTTATGGAGCTCGTATTATTTTCATGAAGCCTGGAGCAGGGGGCTGGTGAAATGCTAGACAAACAGCTAAATAATGCAAGCTGAGTGCACTGCTTTATTTACCCAAACACAAGTGTCATGTAGTTAATTGTTTACAAGTGCATTTCCCCTACTGTGGCGTGAAGTGCTGACAGAAGAAAAGCAGGATTCATAAATATTTCTATGCAAAAAAAAAAAAAAAAATGAAGAAGAAGAAGACAACATGGTCCAACTAAATAAATAGCCCACAAAGTCTGTGCATTTTAAACCACAGGTAGTGAATAATAAACTATTGTACAACAAGCTCAAACAACACACAAAAAAGCTTGTGTTTGAGAGATTTGAGGAGGGAAAGCAGTCCATCTGTTGTAGCTTGTTTTCTCTTTGTCACTCTAACCGTCTCCCTGCTGCCTTCTCCTCATCTCGAAGTTGAGTCTGCTTCGCTCCCTCATACAGGCTCCGACTGACGTAATGGTTCACATCCCACCCTGCGGGGCTCTTGTGCAGCCAGCGAGCGTTCAGGCTCAATTCCCCCAGCTCCCTCAGGTTGACTCCTGGCCGTGCAGGGGTGGAGATGACGGGGAAAGGGCCGTGGAGAGCCCGAGGCACGGGGAGCGGTTCAGGAAGGCAGCACGGGAGCAGGAAGGGGTGAGGCAGAGGCTGAGTCGCTGTCAGGAATCAGAGTGAGAGTCAAATCAATCAGAAAAGTAACCCCTGAGACACATGCAGAGCTCAAACACATAGTGATTTATTAATACCACTACTCTGATGCATTGAACGGGCTTTAAAGCCATTCAGGGGGAACCTAAAACTGGTTCTAAGTATTTAAACTAACTGTTTAAAGTGAATATTTTAAGTCTATAATAGATCAAACACAAAGAAGAACAGCAATCTTGAGTCTAAATCTTCATTAAAAATGTCAATTTATGAGCTATTTTTGTTTTAAACTGATATTACAGTAAAACCGTAAGTTTCTGGATTTTTTTGGTTTTTTTTGGGGGGGGGGGCATGTAAATGAACATTAAATTAACATCCTTCCCACATAAATTCAATCTTCTAGGAAATGTGCAGTATTAAAACTTCCAAGGTGCAAAGTACAGAGCATTTTTTAGCATTTACTTTCTTTCATGCGTGTTCAAGCTGAATGAATTTATTCACTCTGGAGGAAAAGTCTTCAAGGTCAGGATCGAACTCCTTCCTTGCATTATTTTTCATCACGTCACCCTGTTTCACCTTGAAATACATTAAATTACAGAAGAGGCAAGCCATCAAAATGACGTCTCATTGGAAATTGAACTAAATGCAGCTGAAGGAGTTTAAAAATCTGCAGTTTACAGGAACTGAATAGTGAGTTGTGTAATGTGAAAGTGAGTAAATATGAGGACAGTGGAAAGGCAAGGTAATGTCAGTCCAGCTAAAACTACAATTACAGCTTTCTTGATTACAATCAAGTGGAGAATTCTCAGTAAAGTCCATGAAACCTACGGTAGCAATCAACTGATCCTTTTGATGAGTGTGTCTGGGTCTCGAAAGCCTTTATTAGACTTCATTGAATCACATACAATTTTACCATTAAACACACCATCCTTCTCCTGCACTAGAGGAAAGAATAATTACAAAATAGTTATGAATATATAAGAACAAGAACATCAAATGTGTATTAATCCAGAGGTAGAAGTAGTCCTGAGTCAACTGAATTACATTATGTGGACAAAAGTACTGGCCTTCCTGCACATGATATGTTACGAAGCTCCCAGTGCACAGCTTTTGTACTGATGTTAATAAGAGAAGTGCTACAGTTATTGGGACAGCAGAGAGTTGATGAATTTTACACGTCTCATTAGTAGCTCCACAGAGCATTAGTTTGCACGTTCGCCTAGCAAATGTGTGCCTTTCAGGAGTCAAGCTACAGTGTTTTGGAGACAGGGTGATGCACGAATAAAGACTAAACAAAATGAAGCCATAAATTATTTTCTCAAAGTCAGTGAAGGAGAAAAAGAAAGGAGCTCACACGATAACATTTATTTGTTTCTTTGCAAAAGGGTGTTTTAAAAAGGTCAAGATGACTGTTAAGGAAGGCGTGAAGGTTAGGGGCTCCAAAAAGTACCACTTTTTATTTTCGGCTCATACAGGTTAAAAAAGTTCAGTGTCATCCACAGTGTTATATCATCAAAGAGGTCCAAGAAGACCTTCAAGGGGGTTGTGGTTTACATTTCAAGGAGCAGATATGTTTGGGAATCATCTGCACAGCTGTGAAATTAAGTTCCATATTTTTTGAAAATTGATCCTAGCAGCAGCATAGAGAGTGAAATAAGTACTGGACTGGGAATGGACCCTTGGGGGATCCCACCTGTGAGGGAAGGTGATGATAGATAAATAAAAAAAAACACCCAGCCTGCCTGTTAAATATGATTGAAACCATTCAAAAACAGCCTCTTTAACGCCCACACCATGATCCAAGGTTACCACTAAGGTCTAAATAAAAGATGATTAAAGACTTTTCAAAGTATTCTCTCACAGATTGCAATTTGGGACTCTTTGAGAGCCAGATTTCTCATATTATGTGTCTGTAATCACTTGGTGCCTCCAGTGGTATATTATTAGGTTGACACATTTGCTTTGCGAGTGAAAAGTTGCTGGTTAAATTTCAGCCAGCGACACAAATTCCCTTTGGGATTGTATTAGTAAGGGCATCCGGTGTAAAAACTCTGCCATATCAACCATGCAGAGCTACCCGCTGTAATGACCCCTTGTGGCAAGGGAGCAGTGAAAGGCAGCTTTTTATGTCTTCATCTGTGTTAGCTGGACTCTGTAGACCTCGTGCCTTACCTCTGTCCATCACTGACCCTGCTCTTCCACAGAGAGGAAGGCCACTGTCAGCAGCGAGATGAGGGAATAGAAGGGAGCCGCTCTGGACGAGCTGGAGGGATGGAGGTATATGAAGAATGAGATGGAAGGATGGTTGAAATGCAAAGAGTGCAGACAGACAGAGAGTGCACAAAACATCAAGAACACCAGGTGAAGATTAATTTATTTTTAATGTACGGAGGATCAAAGCTCCTGGAGCTGAAAGGAAAAAGGGACTTCAGATGATGAAGACATTAATCAAGTTAATTGAAGTATGGTGTTCCTCATATTTTGCACACATATCCGAAAAACTTAATTAGAATATATGACATTAAGAGTTTAATTCCAAAACAGGACTTTTTTTAAATAGACTCTGCTCATGCAGCGCTTTTCTACCTCAGCAGACAAAGCGCCTCCCTACTAATCCCCACTCCTACAAAATGTATCAAATAATTAAACAAGGTCTGGTGCTTTTTTTAAAGGCTAGCAGGTAACCTAAGCCCTTGCGCTGCCCATGAACATGATATAACTTTAACACACTGACTCCCTTCTACTTTAGAGGACCAGTCAATTGCTTGGTTTTACATTAAATGATAAAATTTCACTAATGATTTTTATTCAAGTCAGCCAAACTCATATTAAATGATAAAGTTGAGGCAATTGTTTCTATTAGAGCTGGTTCATTTTTTACATATCAAATAAGGTAATTATTTTCTTTCAAAGTGCTGAGGAATGAAACTCTTCCTAAAGGACTCATTTTTTGGAAAACTGGCCAAATGACAGGTTCTATTCCACTCCACTGTATTTATAGTGTTATATAAAGTGTAAAATAACCCAGAAGCCAGTTTTCCACACAACAAAGTCCTTTAAGATGAAGTGAAGACGTGATGAATGACCTGATGGCTCGGTGCTGGTGGTGCTGGTGGTGCTGGCGGTGGGTATCCCGGATAGTTGACGAGGATGAGTTTACTGAAGTTGAACTTGTAGGTGAATCGTTTCCCTTTGGTCTTGTGCAGGATGCGTTTGTTGTAGTAGTATCTGGAAGTAAAATGTTTTCTCTGTCAAGACTACACTCTGAAGTGTGTGTCTAAGGTATGCTTTGCTGTTCCTGTAGGGCACTTTAGATTTCTTTGTTGCTTTCCAGGTGGCATGATTTGCATCTGTGGGCATTTTAGATTTGAAAATTTAATTTGACAACATGTGTTGGCGAGGAGCCTGAGGAGGAAGCTGCACGGAGAGAAAGGATTACTCATATTCACAGTTAAATATATATATAAATTTATAAATATATATATATATTTATAGTCTGTTTGTATAACTTTTTTTATTTCAGTCTTTTTTTCTTTATTACAGGGAAAATTCAAATAAACTTAAATACATTTCAGGAAAGTCAAAATCAAATTAAATGAGAAAATATGTATATTATAACATTACTTGTCTTAAATTCATTTTAAGTCTTAAGTTTTCAGAATATGTTGATGCTAATTTACCCACCTGAGGGCCCGGCTGAGCTTGTCGTAGTTCATGTGCGGTTTGCCCTTCCTCTCGCCCCACAGCCTGGCCAACATCTCAGGGTCCCTAATGACAAACTCGCCCCACTCCCCTCCCCAGCCGATGGCCCCGCCCTCGCCTCGGCCCAGTAGCTCGAGGAGGAAGTGCCAAAGCTGGATCTGTCGGGAGCCGGGCGACCACGTGGGTTTGTAGGCCCAGTCAGGAAACAGCACTGCTGGAGAAGCAATTAGGAAACAATAAAGAAAGTCAGCAATCTAAAATTCAGTGGTGTGTGTTTGAGTCCCCATTAAGGTTGTACATTCATTTTTCTCAGGAAGCCACAAATCACACTTTGATTTGCTGGGTTAATATCTTGCATTATTGGTTAAAGTTAGGTGAGAAGTAAGCAAACATGAGCTGTAAACTGTATATAAATGATGGGACGAGCTGAGCATTTAATTGACCATTATGATTTTATTTTTTAGAAGTCAGATGTTTTTCTGAACTAAGACATGGACGCGATCACCGCGGGCATGCATACTCTTAAATCACGCTCAGGTTTCTTGCCTAATTCCTCCATATGGGATCATAATTGGAAAAAAATAAACTGACATCCGATTTTATTAAATAAAACTTTAACCAGCATTTGAGACCATAAACCCACCAGGAATGTGTTTTTATAAATCAAGTTAAAAAAAGGTTTTTATTTTTTGTTTCTCTACCGACTGAATACAATGAATGTATTTTTTCAACCACACACGTCGCCCCCTGTTGGCCATTACAAAGACTGCAAGTTTAATGCCAAATACACTATCATAATAACATATTACTGGTAAGTGGACTATATCCAGTTAGATTCAGTGAGTGTGGCAATTTGCCATAAATCACCTCTCTGTCAGAGTTAAACAAACATATTGAAGTTTGCTGTGTGGAAGTTGTTGTTGTTTTTTTCTGAAACAAAAATTGCTGCACATCATGAAAAGAAGCTCCTAATATAACATCTTATCATCACCATATCAGATCGTGACTCCAATAGGCTTTGGTTTCTTTTTCTTTATTCCACACTGATTGTACGGATTTTTGCAAATGGGATTTTGGTCGTAGAGGAGTTTAACTGAATCTCTGTTTCATCCAGACGTGTCATAAAAAAACACACAGACACAAACAATGAATATTTCTCATCATTTGTTTTGGTGGTCGTGAAGCTTTGTTGTTCTGTGAGCACAAACTAATAACTCTGCGACTATGAGAAAATAATTTCAAGCTTATTCAAGCTCAGCTCATTATTTTGGGTTCAGAAATATGCTCATCTGTTACAGAGGTTTCTTACTGCAAGCTGGTTATCTATAAATTCTTCCACAAGGAAATAGATTGTCCTTGGATCTGTCTGAAGCTTTGCTATTTGAGACACGACTGTAAACTTCAACAAAATTAATAAGGTGACGTGAATACATTAAAGCATAGATGGTTGCGTGTCTGTCTGTGTTAGCCCTGTGATAGACTGGCAGCCTGTCCATGGTGTAAACTGCCTATCATCCTCTGGCAGCTGGGAAAGGCTCCATGACCCTGAACTTGATAAGCAGTTAAGAAAGTGGAAGGATGCATGAATTGCTATGTCTAACTTGTTGGCTGATAAAAATGTCCCATTTACCAAATATATTCGTAACTGATAATATGTAATATAGTTTATAAGCTGGTAAAAACTGAAGTGTTAAAAGTTAAGACCAAGTTTTTTTGGGGGGGAGTTAGAAAATGGATTACTAGATGATTAAGTTGTAACATATTTTAATTTAACTGAGCAAATAAACTCTAAAATAACAGCTCTGATGCGTCACCTCTCTGGTGGGGATGGAGCTAGCGCTTGAGGCCAAGAAATGCCAGCTAGATATAGTCGGTCTTGCCTCAATGCACAGCCTGGGCTTTGGAACCTGTAGAGGGGCTGGACTCCATACTACTCTAGAGTTGCTCCTGTTGAGAGGCAGCGAGCAGTGTTGGGTATGCTTAGTTATCAGTTCAGCACCTGCATCTTGAGGATTGTTGGACTTCTTCGCTTAACCTCAGCTTGTCTATAATAAGCATCATGGCTGAGGTTAAGGGTGTTCTTTGCAGGTGGCATGAGGACTGTAGGCCAATCATAATTTTAGATCTGTGGTTTCAGGTTTTGGACACTTGGGTGAAGAACAGCAGAGTTGTGAACTGAACCCCAGCTTGCAGTGAGTTGAATCAAATAGTGGGGGAGAATGCTGAACAGGCTTACTGAACCTATACATATAGGTTCAGGTACACCAGAAGGTTAATAGATGTTCAGTAGCAATCTGAGGGACTCTGAGGACATAAAGTCCAAATGGATCATGTTCTGCACCTCCATTGTTGAGGTGGCTGTATGGAGTTGTGGCCTCAAAGTGCTTGGCTAGGAAGTAATCCCAGAACCAGATGTTGGACATTGGAGATGAAGAGAGAGCCGTCAAGCTGAAGAAGAAGTCCTACTGAGCATGATTAGCCTTTGGGACTCAGGAGGAACTTGACAGGTACTGACCAACCAGTGCAGCTCTGGCAGTAGCCAAAAACTTGCATGTGGGAAGATTTTGGTGAAACCATGGAGAAAGACTTTCAGTCAGCCTTGATGCAATTCTGGGAAACTGTCAGGTGACTCAGGAGGAGGAAACAGTTTCCTGTTTACACTGTATACAGCAGGAGGTAGTCAGGCAGAGGAAAGAATATTTTGAGGATCTCCTCAATACTATTGAAAAGCTTTCTGTAGTGGAAGCAGAGTCTGGTAATGAGGGAGAGGATTTGCCCATGACTGGAGATGAGGTCACAGACCATCTTTCTGTCCTCTTGTGAGTAGGCTAGTATGTTCTTCACTTTATTTACTTCTAGTTAACTAGTCAGACTCCCTCTTGGCTCCACTGTCTTGTTCTTAATCTTCCTTGAAAAGAATGTTTACTGGTATCAAAATCAGCTTCTCTGCTTAACTAGAATAATGTCCTAAAAGATCCCCGAGTAAGTAAACTGATGGTGGAAATAAAACTGACAGATGTTCACGCTGGTATGCCATACCTCATGGACATTATAGCTTCAGTTTTAACTTAAGTACAGACTAAATATTAATATCGAAGGTCAAAATGGAGCAGCTTGTATCAGTTGCTGATTGGTCAAGACGGCATCAAGACTGCACGACTTGCTGGCGCTGACATGATGACATATCATTCCTTTGTTTCTCGCAGTTTTATCTATTTTTATCACGCATCCGAATAAGATCTGCACCGAATGAATACATAATAACTCTTACATAAATATGAACGCTATCCCACACAAATGTCTACCCACACATATGTAAATAACTGAGATGAACGCACACCGACACACACGGTCTTACTTCTGCTCCAATAAGGTGAGGAAAGGTGACCGACTGAGGAGCTGCAGCTGCACTGCATCTGTTACAAAATACAAACAGATAAAACTCGTCAGTGTCTTCACTGGACTGATGGGTGAGAAACGAGAAGAAAATATCTTATAAAAAATATTAATTACCTCTCATCTGGTGTGAAATTAGCCATCACAACAAAGCACAAATGCAGCTGATTGCAGCAACTTATTCTTTCACCATCACCCACAAATTAAATCAATGGCAAAGCCAATCTCCCAATTGTATATTAGATCAATATAAGTAAATGAATATAATGTGTATGTATGCCCTGACAGTTTATAATGTGCCTGGAATTGCATTTGACTCAATAGCTGGTTTTACAGTGGCTTAAATGTGTGAAAGCACCATTTTTACCTGCAGACATTGTTTAATACTCTATATTTTTCTATAATTTCATCCTATAAACACACACACACATCACTCGCCCACAGACACAATGACCTTCCCAGGCGATTCACAGCAGCAGGGACACCCACCATCTTCCCTGCAAGGCTGAAAACTCATCTCTTCAAGAAGTACTTCACATAACCCTCTTCCCCCAACTGAATGATGCCTCCTCTGCTATAAGCCCTCTTCCATCGGCTGTAATATCCTCTTATCTTGGAGCAACAAAAAAAAAAAAAAAAAACGATGTCTGCCTTCAGCTCTTATTTTATTTCCTTCTCCCATGCAGCACTGCTCTCACACATGATCACTGCAGGGTCACAGGGACATTATCAGGAAACCGCGGGAGACGAGCCAAAGTCGTTTCACTTGTTAAGGCCGATGATTAGACAAAAACAAGCTCCAAGTTGTTCCGCTTCAAGATTGAAAAACAAACTAAAACATGGGATCAAAAGAGGACTGCAGATGAATTAGAGTTAATTTAGTTTAGCTTTCTGTGCAATTTTATGCAGACTTTGGCTCTCATATTTTAATTTCCCCCCTTTTTATTGGTTGTTTTGGTGGTTAACTACAATTTTTTACTCCATAAGAGCACCAAGTGCCTAAAAATGCAACTCTAACTCCACCATAAATCTAATGGTAACTAGTTGAAATCATTATTTCAGAGAAGCACAACATTTTCACAGGGTTTTTTTTTTTTAAGTAGGTGAATTTAAGGTCAAAATTTAACTAATCGTTAAAAAATAATTTTGTTTACAAAGAGCAGCCTAATTCAGAAGCTCCCGTGCAAGTGTAATCATAATGCAATTGGTCCTGTTACCTTGATTGGAGCCAAAGTGGAAAACTCTTCGTTAAGATGAGTAACAATGATCAGTTTGTCTGCCGGCCCACTTCCAGTCTGGGAGGACTGAAGGATGGATGGACCGAATCTTAAACCCTCTATCTCATCTCACCCCCTAACCGCACACAGACACACACTCCCACCTCCCCCTTCCCTCCTACAACATTACTCCCTCCTTCCCCCAGCCCCAGAATTAGGAAGACTGGGGCATGACAAAAAGATGTTGATTACACTGATGGTGAATGAAGAAAACCCTCCCAAAACATGAAACCATCACTCATTAATGAGTTAGAAATGCAACTTTGATTAGCTGCTGATAGATCATCATCTAACAGTTATTTTTTTAACTATATTAACATGTTAATTTGTGTAAAAACAAATAGGGGCAAATGATTGTTATAATTTGCCAGAGCCGTTAAGTGCACCTTTAAATTCCACAAAAAGAAATCATTCAAATCTCCAAGGGAAGTCATATATGGACCACAATGTGTTATTTAGCTAAACTTTATACATATATATATATATATATTATTGCAAAGTTTTCATTTTAAGAGCTTTATATAAAATTTGTAATTTTAAAACATCACTTTTTGCATAGTCTTTTTTGTCACCCTTATATGGTTTACTTATGGTTTACGCCTTATATGACTTGCGTCTTGTAAGCACAGATGAGTCGAGGTCAACAGCTTCTCACAGTGTTTAGATGATTATATGTGAGAGTGGGTCGGAACTAAAAAGCACGAGAAAATAAGGTGTTAGGAAATAGGTGAAGGTACTTTTCTTCTGTGTCATGACTGGAGCATATTAAAGTGAGCTGAGGAGAGAGATATGATTGAGCAGACTGAAGGTGACAGAAGGTTTTTTTTCCTCGCTGAATCAAATAGGTGATGAACTCAATACCGGAGCCACACTTTAGTCAACGAGAGCCGCTTTTCACTTGACAGGAGTGACTTTGGCCAAGGTCAACAGGCTGTTCAATACTCTGCCGCACAGGCACAGGAGGCCGGTGTAGAGGTGGAGGTAGCGGTGACACATTTTGCTCAAGCTAATGTCCTGCTATTGGTCCCACAGGCCTCGAGCACTTATCGCACTTCTGTGAAGGTGAGGGGGCATTCCTACAGCATGCAACACTAGACAAATAAATAAAACGACTTAAAATGGTTTAGAAGATGTATTACCGTAAATTCTAAATACTTGGATGATTCTAATCAGTTTTTTTACTTCAATTTTTTTAATAACAATACATCCATTTCAAATAACTTTTATAATTGGAAGAATTCAAATAATTTTACAGAACAAAACTTTTTTTTTTTTTTACCAAGCAAGTGAAACACTGTGCTTGAAAGTCGCAAAACCTTTAAAGCAAAGATGTAAGGTACAGATGATAAGTCATTTTGTCTTATTTTTAATATTAATTCCATTTTTGTTCCCTTTCTTTTAACTTCAAAAAGGAAAATTACATGCTTTTTATAACTGAAACCTTCCTTTTAGTTTCTTCCGTGCTTGTGTTTACGCATCATTAAGGAGAACATTTTGACAGATCGGCAAATCTTGAAATATCAGTTCTGTTTTCACGTGTGTTTGTTAAATATGAATTATAGCTATGAAGCTATAACTGGAAACAGTTGAAAGCAGTGTAGATCTGCTCATAGGTAAGCCTAAGGGTAAACCCGCAAATCTGTACAAAAAAAAATGACAAGTTTTATGTTGACAGGACACGTATGTACAGATTTACATTTTAACCAGACGCTATTATCAGCTTGTTGCCTAGCAACTTCGCAGTTACAAATGTATAGAACTAGGATAGCTTTTTTTATGCTAATACACAATTTATGCTAGTGAACAGCAGTAGCTAAGTATAGAAGATTTCTACTTGTTTCTTAATCAGGTAATTATGCTAATGAAGTATTGGAAAGATTGTATATTGATATCAGCTTCTTTTCAAGACAATCACACACACAGACAGCATCCAAATCTATATTTTGCCGAGTCTGTGAGAACTGGGTTACGACTTAATCCTGCATTACTTAACCCGAACAAAATGTTGTGCTGCTGCGTTTGTTGGTGGATTAGCTGTGATTTAGTGTTCCCTATACAGCAGGAGAAAAGACATAAAGAGAAGCTCCCAGCAACAATCTGCTTAGGCTTGTGATGCACATACATCCCTATACAGTCCCCCACCCCTTGCACAAAACACACACACACACACACATACACAGTCCCATACACTTATCGTCCCTCAGATGTGATAGCTGACACCGGAGGCTTTTAATTCCAGTGTAAATACAAATACTCTCCCAGACAGCTATCAATTATGCATGGCACTAATTGAGTTGAATGTTGTGCTTTTAGCAGCCTGAGGACCCCGGGTCACATGCAGAGCTTGAAACCAAACACACATAGATAATTGCACATATACGAGAACCCATTCAGTTCCTTTTCCTTCACTTCAACCTTAAAAAACAGAAGTGAGACGACATTTTTTTTAGCCTATTACAACAGACTACATACTAGTTTACTACTTTAAGCTGGCTTTGGAAATGTTTTGGCCATTATATTTTACTATGAGCAATAGCCGGTGCAAACATTGCACTTAAGCTACATTTCGATATAAAAATGGCTGTACTTGGAGGGAGAAACAATGAGGATTTGACATTCAGTGTCCTTCACAGTGCTGCAAATCTAAAATGAAATCTAAATATGTGGAAAATGATCAGCTAGACTCCTGAACACTGATATTAGCCATAAGTCTCATGTTATAAAATACACAAAACTAAAGTTTGGTGAGCTGATGAGTGAGGTCACTCTGACAGAGCAGAGTGAGTAACTTCTCAAATGCTTTAAAAGATTATGGTATGGTTTCATACAGGAAAAAAATCTACAGTGACTTTAATCACAACATGTGGTCTTTTAACCTTTAACCTTAACCAAAGTACATGCTCCAATCTCATGTTTGCACACTCTCCATCAACCCCAACCACCTCTTCCTGGCTTTAAATGTATTAAAATATATTTCCTAATCAAGCCAGGCTTTTCTTTTTACATTTCTTTGAAGGTAATAATAGAGTTGCACACAAACTTATTTCTAGGACATCTGGTTTGATCTCACATGAGATGTAAAACAGGCCCCAAGCGGTTTGACAAAAGTAAAGACTGGTTCATCCATGGTGCAAAAAGAACAGCCCCAAAGAAGACTTTATTGGAAAATGACTCATTATTTTTTGTTTTTATTTCATCTAATATTAATTTTTTATTTTTATTTTCCTAAAGGACAAGTTTCTTGCTTGAATGATGCGAGCAGAGCTTTTTGATTTAATATTTGTCTAAGCATGTTTTACTCGGTTTGAATAAAAGGTTTTGATTTCCTCCATATTTAAAGTACAATAATCCAACTTTGGATAGTTAAGAGCGAAACAACTTTTGTGCAACAGATACATTTAAAGTAGCTAAAGGCTCGCTTTTAATTAGATCTAAGCTGTTGTCAAAGTCTGTCTTTTTATGAATCCAGAAATTGCTTTTAAGGTCTTAAAAAGTAATTTCACTTTCTTCCTGTGAGATGAAAAGCTCAACACTTCTTTCATGTTGGTGCAATAGATATGCAGCTAATGTTAAAAAATACTCCTACCATCACCTCTAAGGCTCACTAATTAACACACACACACACACACACACACACACACACACACACACACACACACACACACACACACACGCACAGAAAGGAATATAAAAATTACATTTTGGTGATGTGATGTTTCCTAGCGACCAACAGTCACTTTGAGTTTCGGAATCTTGTTAGTGGGGTTGCCGGGCAACAAGGCCAAATAAAATTCTAAGGAATTAAAATACAGCACTCAGCCTGAAACTACATATCGTCATTTTAATATTTCTACAAGATGTAATATGTTAATGAGCTTTAGATGTGCCGGCTGGTAGTATTATTATTATTATTATTAAAGTGCAGCACAGGATGAGATAATAGGGGACATGCCATTGTTCATTTTGTGCTTCATATTTCCCAGAAAAGTATAATTAGTTAAATTAAGAAAATGGAAATTACATGCAGTAAACTATGATTTGAAGGGACCAACCTGGGGACAGTTGCCGCTCCTACACTAATTTAAATTTAACAAAATGCACTGCAAGCTACATTTAGTTTCTTCTGCTTATCCAATTTGGTGGATGGGGTGTTTGGGTCACAGGTCGCCAATCTGTTGCAGGGCTAACACATAGAGTCAGTTTAGAATCACCAATTAACCTGACCCAATGGAGTGTGGGAGGAAGCTGGAGTACTGGGAGAGAACCCACACAGTCACAGGGAAAACATCCAAACTCCACACAGAAAGGCCTTGAAGCCAGGACCT